GTAACTGGTTTAAGGGCCAGTGAGCTGAGGCTGTTTTTCCAGCCATGTGACCCGGGCCACGCTTATGGGAAGTGGGGCGGGGGCCATCTGGGCTGACTTGAGTCACTCCGGACGTGCCAGGCGGAGACTCCGAAAGGGCCAAAGTAGAAACTCCCTCACCCCTCCCGGTGGCCCTGTAAACACACCTGGGGCCACGAGGGGGCGCTGGAGCCAACTCAAGGCTCCACGGCTGGGCAGGGCAACCTACCCGAGAGCCATTTGTCCAAAAGGGTGGATCTTAAATAGTATTGAGTGAAGAGGAAAGGCCACGATGCCTATAGAATAATTTGTCTGCACATTTAAAACGCATGCATACATAAAACAACTTGGTATTTTTTAAAAGACATACATTCCACTTAGGTGAGGTCCCTAGGATAGACACATTAATAGAGAAAAAGCAGAATGGTGGTTGCCAGGGTTGTGGGGTGGGTTGGGGGAGGAGAGGGGAGTTACGTTTATGTGCATGTGCTCAGCCTTGTCTGACTCTTTGTGACCCCGTGGACTATAGCCCTCCAGGATCCTCTATCCATGGAATTTTCTAGGCAAGAATACTGGAGTGCCATTTCCTCCTTCAAGGGATTTTCCCCTACCCAGGGACCGAACCCAAGTCTCCTGTGTCTCCTTCACTGGCAGGCGAATTTTTTACCACTAGCATCACCTGGGTAGAGTTTCACTTTGAGAAGATGTAATACCATTGAATTGCATATTCAAAAATGGTTATAGTGGCATATTTTGTGATATGTATGTTTTACCACAATTTTAAAAAGACATACATATTGAAAGACATATCATAGGGAATACCTATAAAGGGTGGGGGATGGCAGGATGGGAACAGGCATGAGGGATAAAGGGGGAAAGTTGACAAAATACCTGCTGCTGACGGTGGGTCTTTTGAATCCCAAGTGTGAGCCCCTCCCCACCCCCAAACTACTGTTTAATGTTTTCCTTTTAAATTGACTGTTTTAAATAGCCTAAGTAAATTTGTTATTTAACTTTGCAAAAATGATACGACTGTGGCAAGTGGAAAACCTAGGTAGGCTTCCCTGGTATGAGGCCTGTTCCCCCTTCCACACCCACTTTTCACTTTCTCGTTTTGACTGGCAGTTTCCTGAAATACTGGGTTGGCCAAAAAGTTCTTTCAGGTGTTTCCATACCATGTTATAAAAACCCAAACGAAGTTTTTGGCCAACCCAGTACCTGTCGCTCCATATTTAGGATTCATTCTTTATACTGTTTTCCACTCTGCCAGTGACATCGTCTCAGAAATTGCTCATAAAATAAAACTGGGTTTGTGCCTCTTCCCTCACCATTTGTTGGGTTTTATTTGGGGGCAGTCCAAGTGCCAGCGGTGTTCAATCCAGCTGTGCTTCTTTGTCATCATCCATCATTTAAAAACACCCAAGCCATCATTTTAAGTCAGCTGTGTGTAAAAACAAGCCTTTTTTTTTTTTTTTTACTGAGGTAGGTAGGTAAATAATGGGACTTATTCTTTGGCAGTGCCAAAGAATGTCCAAGCTACTGTGTAAGCTGTGCTCATTTCACACGCTAGTAAGGTTATGCTCAAAATCCTTCAAGCTAGGAGGCTTCAGCGGTACGTGAACCGAGAGCTTCCAGATGTACAAGCTGGGTTTAGAAAAAGCAGAGGAACCAGAGATCAAATTTTCAACATTCACTGGACCATGGAGAAAGCAAGGGAATTCCAGAAAAAACATCCAGTTCTGTTTCATGAGTATACATATATTCCCTTTTAAAAAAAAATGTCCTTCCCTTTTAGGCCACCACAGAGCATTCAGTAGCGTTCCCTGAGCCACACAGTAGGTTCTCATCAAGGCTACTTATTTTAACTACAAACTGCAAGTGGCTTTCACATTATATTTTAACATTATTTTCCTGATGAAGTCAGAGCCTTTCCTGGGGAGGCGCGAGTGCGGGGTTGGAGACAGGGGTGCAGCTCCCACTGACCTGAACCCTTGTCTGAGCAGGAAAAACATGAGGCAGAGACAAGCCTGTGGGAGATTGGCTGTTAGAACAGACGTGTCCTGCCCTTCCCCTGGCCCTGGGTCTTCGTTCTGCCATTAGGTGACTTCTCCACCCTCTAGAGGCCCTGATTTCTCTCTCTGGGGGAAATCGACCTCCACTCAGAGCTGGGCTGCGATATGAACTTTCACCAGTAGGTGGTGCCAGATGGTCTAACCTCTGTGTTTCCAACTCCAGCACCACTGAGCGACGGAACAACACAGTGCTCGGTGCAGACTGGCTGGGTGTTGGATGAATGGAAGAAGGAAAGAATGAGTGAGACAGGAAGGTTAGGAGAAGACAGAGGGATCATGGAGCCTCCTTACAGTATGGAGGCTCAGTAGACTTGAGCTACTATATTCTTTTTTCTTCCAGTGTTATTGACATCCAGCACTGCGTAAGTTTAAGGTATACAGAACAGAGATTTGATTTACGTACATCATGAAATGATTGCAAGTTTAGTGAGCATCCCTCATCTTTGTAAAGACACAAACTTTAAAAACTAGAAAAGATTTTTCCTCTGATGAGAACACTTAGGACTTACTCTCTTGCGTTAGTCGCTCAGTCCATGTCTGACTCCTTGCGACCCCATGGACTGTAGGCTCCTCTGTCCATGGAATTCTCCCGGCAAGAGTACTGGAGTTAGGTGCCATTATACTCTCCTAACAACGTTCATATACAACTGTTAATTACATTTATCATGTTGTACATTACGTCCCTAGTACTCATTTATCTTACAACTGGAAGTTTGTAACTGGAACGTTTTGACTGCCTTCCTCCAGTTCCCTGTGACCCCACCCCTGCCTCGGGTAACCACAAATCTGATCTCTGTTTCTCTGAGTTTGTTTTTGAAGTATGATTGACCTATAGCTCTATGTTAGTTCCTGTTACCCCACATAGTGATTCACTAGTTCTCTGTACTTCAAGATGATCACCGTGGTAAGTTTAGTTATTGTCACCAAAGATACTACATAATTATTGTGTCTACTCCCCTCACTGTATACTTCATACCGTGACTCGTCTCTTCTGTCTTGTACCTCTTAATCTCGCTCACCTGTTTCTCTCCTCCCCCCAACCCCTCCCCTCTGGCAACCACCTGTTCATTCTCTGTATCTGTGACCCCGCTTCTGTTCTGTTATGTTTGTTCATTTCTTTAGATTCCACGTTGCAAGTGATATCATGTAATATTTGTCTTTCATTCTTTTTTATGACTGAATAATATTCCAGTGCATATTATATACCACATCTTTATCCATTCATCTATTGATGGGCACTTAGGTAGCTTCCATATCTTGGCTATTGTAAATAGTGCTTCAATGAACGTAGTGATTGAATGAGTGCTTTTGTTTTCTTTGGATACATACCCAGAAGTGGAATAACGTGGTAGTTCTGTTTTAATTTGTTTGTGGAATCTCCACACTGTTTTCCTTAATGATGATACCAATTTCTATTTCCATCAGCAGTGCACCAGGGTTCCCTTTTCCCCACATCCTGACCAACCTTGTTAGAAAGTGAAAGTCGCTCAGTTGTGTCCAACTCTTTGTGACCCCATGGACTATATAGTCCATGGAATTCTCCAGGCCAGAATACTGGAGTGGGTAGCCATTCCCTTCTTTAGGGGATCTTCTCAACCCAGGGATCAAACCCAGGTCTCCTGGAATGCAGGCAGATTCTTTACCAGCTGAGCCACAAGGGAACCACCAACCTTGTCATTTGTTGTTTTTTTGATAACAGTCATTCTAACAGAGGTGAGGTGATATCTCATTGTGATTTTGATTCCCTGATGGCTAAGGGTGTTGAAAATCTTCTCATGGACCTGTTGGCCATCCATATGTCTTCTTTGGGAAAATGTCTGTGCAGCTCCTCTGCCCATTTTTTAATTGGGTTGTTTGTGTCTTTGATGTTGAGTTGTATGAATTCTTTATATAATTTGGATATTAACTCCTTATTCAGATATATCTTTTGCAGATATCTTCTTCCCTTCAGTAAGTGGCCTTTTCCTTTTTTTGAAAGTTTCTTTGCTGTGCAAAAGCTTTTTTTTCTAAACAGGAATATTCATAGTAACTTTATTCTTAATAGCCCCGAAGTAGAAACAACCCCAAAATCCACCAACTGACAAATGGAACAAAATATGGTATACTCATACAGTAGAATATTATCTGACAACAAGAAGGAAAAAAGTACTGATCTGTGCTACAACATGTATGCATCTTAAATACATTATGTTAAGTGAAAGAAATCAGTCATAAAAGACCAATCATATGATTCCATTTGTATGAAATGTTCAGAAGAGGCAAACTTAAACAGACAGGAAATAGATTCCTGGATGAAAAGCTTTGTTTTGATGTAGTTCCATTTGTTTGTTTCTGTTTGTGTTTTCCTTGCCTGAGGAGACAGATCCAAAAAAAATACTAATAAGACCAACGTCAAACAGCATACTGCTTATGTTTTCCTCTAGAAGTTTAATGGTTTCAGTTGTTACAGTTAAGTCTTTAAACCATTTTGCATTTATTTTTGTGCACTGATGTATTACAGTCTATAAAATGAGTCAGTTCAGAAATTACAAGATGAGGGACTTCCCTGGTGGTCCAGGGGCTAAGACTCTGCACTGCCAATGTCAGGGTTCCAGGTTTGATCCCGGGTCAGGGAGCTAGATCCCACATGCCACAAGGAAGAGTCTGCATGTTGCAACTAAGACCCAGCACAGCCAACTAAATAAATATTTCCAAAATATTTAAAACAAAAGAAGTTACAAGATGATACCCCTTTCATGATGGGGCTGACCTTGACTCCGCCAGGGACCCTGGCATCTGGGCTGCCAGTCACATACTCGCAGTGCTTCTGTCCAGGGAAGGTAACATTTACTGTGTCCTGCAACCAGCAGGTCATCAGCTTTCTATTGCTTTTGAAATTGTCACAGCTGTGCTCCTTTTTCTGTCTTTCAGAGTGAAACATCTTTCAACCTAATATCAGAAAAATGTGACATTCTATCAATTCTTCGGGATCATCCTGAAAACAGGATCTACCAGAGGAAAATCCAGGTAAGGCAGAGGGTCAGGAGGAGGGGAGCCTAGATGAAATGGGTTGGAGTTGGGAGCAGAGACAAAGGTAACACTTTGAAGGTAAAAGGCTTTGCATTTGGACCAGGTTCCTGGACAAATTAAAGGGCTCCCAGAATACTGCAATGTTGGACCTATTTACCTTAGTGAGAAATCTTTTAGTTGCAAAAAAAAAAAAAATCAAAAAAACCCCAGCAGTTTTGGACCTCATTACAACATTGCAAGATCAGGACTTTTATTACCCACATTTCAAAGCTGAGGGAACCGAGTTACAGAAATTAAATGGTCGGCCCATGATTTTACCCCACATGCATGGAGTAGCTGGCATTCGGGTCGGGCAGCCTGAACTCATAAAAGTAGTATTTGTAATCACTCTGTGAGCACCTCTCTGGTGAGAAGGCCCACCCTGGCCAGACTCTGACAGAGGGGAGATGGCTGAAGGATGCAGGAACGATCACAGGACTAGGAGGAACCTGGGTGTCCCCCTGCTGCCCTCTGGCCGCCTGCACTTGGGCAGGACTGTCTGCTGTGCCCGCCGGGAGCCCTTCCTGGGGCAGGAATGAGAGCTGGGCCGCACATCTCATCCGTTGGAGATGAGCTGGCTTTCCAGGGAGCACACCCCTCCCTACGGCCTGCCTCTGGGGGGCTGTCAGCTCCAGCCTGGTGGGAGCAGGGACTCCCTGGCTCCTTGGAAACCACACTGGGCCGTCAGAATCCTGACCGTAGGCAGGCCTGGGAGGCAGCCGGGGGCGGAAGCTGACAGCTCGGAGCAGAACTGGAGGGGGTGCCGTGGGGATGCCACACCTCTTAAGAAATGCTTGGAGGGCTGGCCAGACTGCCTGGCGATGTCCGGGGAGGCCTTTCCCACTGCCTCTGCAGCCTCCTGGCCCGTCTCACAGCCGCATGCACCCTCGCTGCCCCCACCAGGCGTACCGCTTCTCTTGGTGCCGCTCCTCCAGGAAGCCTTCCTGGACTGCTAAAGTCTGGTGCAGATGCCACTGCTCCATGGCACCCCAGTGTGTCCCCTGTCCTCCTGTGACAGTCGTCCGAATGTCCATCAGCCCCCTGGCCTGTAGGCTCCTCAGAGCGGGGCACAGCTCCCCCTCCAGTGCCTCACGCAGGTCGCACTTAGCATATACTTATTTTTGTGGGATGAGGGTTGGGACACTTTGGAGGGACTCCAGTCTGAGATGAGGGAGCATCCTGCCTGGGGCAGGCGGGACCCCACCTCTGACAGGACTCAATGGGGCTGCTGTTGGTACAGATGCCCACATTTCCTCTGTCCCCCACAGGAGCTCAGCAAAAGGTTCACCGCCATCCGCAAGACCAAGGGGGACGGGAACTGCTTCTACCGGGCCTTGGGTTACTCCTACCTGGAGTCTCTGCTGGGCAAGAGCAGGGAGATCCTCAAGTGAGTGCCGCGTGAGGGCTGCTGGGTGGGCTGTGTTTTCTGCTGTTTCCATCGGCCCTGAACCTCCCTGAGGGTTTGGCCTCAGCGCTGCCTGCTTAACCCAGGGAGTGAGTGACGGCGTTGACATTGAGCAGATGCCCAGCGGCCCTCGTGATGGAAGGGAGGGCAGCCAAAGGGCCAGCTGGGCATGGGACAAATGACCTAGTGGGCACTTTCAACTCTCTGATCTGAGTGTGCCTGGGTGAGGTGAGTTTTGCCTTGGGTGCGTTCTTGAAGCGTCATTCCAAGGAGAAAACAAAGACACATTGCCCGTTGTTCTGGATCGCTTCAGCTGACCTCGGAAGTGAGTGTGTGTAACCCAGGCATCTACCCAGTCAGCCTGGATCTGGAGTTGATGCAGTCCCAGGTCCCTCTATAGTGAGGCTGGGACACGACCCTTCCTTCGACCCCCAGGGTTCTGCTTTATTTGGGGCTTCTCAGACATCATCATTTGTGTAGACCCCCTGGGATCTTCTTCAGATGCAGATTCCAATTCTGTAGGGCTGGGGCCAGGGTCTCTGCATTTCTCTCAAGCTCCCGGAGACGCCGCCGCCGCTGCTGGGCAGCAAGGAGTAGTAGCAAGATGCAGAGACCCGTTTCCTTAACCTTGGAGGGCTGGCAGCCCTTTGAGGATCAATGAAGATCTCAGGCTTCCTCGTCACGCCCCCCCGCACACACCAGGGAAGAGTGCAGAGTGGCCGCGGGTCCCAGAGCACAGGGTTGATCCGCGGGCCCTGGTGCCAGAACTCCTCTGCTGAGCCGGGTTTCTACTCTACCCTCCTTCTGGGGTACCCTTGCGCCCTGCAGCCATCACCCAAGTGGGTGCCACATGCCGACTGTGTCGTGGGCCCCGGGGCCGCAGCAGCAAACAGGGGAGACAAAGCGCTCTGCCCATTGGCTTGCATCCTAACTGGGAAAGAGGGACAGTGGATACGGACAGTTCTTGATGTGGCAGATGGCAGGAAGCATTGCGGGAAAATTATCAGGCAGGAAAGGCAGCCAGGTTTGCAGGGCTAGGGGCTGCAGTTTTAAGTAGGGGTTGGAGACACAGCGGGGACAGGTGGGGCAGGGCCTCGTGGGCCCTTGAATGGACCTCGAATATTGGGCTGAACGAGACAGAGCCACAGAGGGTTTGGCCGTGCAAAGGGCCTGCCGTGCAGACTGCTGTGTGCAGGAAAAACTAGGCACACACACAAATGATGGCGTCTGAGAGCAGCAGGGCGTGTGATCTCGGATCGCCCAGAGGAGAGGTGGTAGAGGTGGCCTTCGCGGGTGGAGATGGCACCACAGGACCCACTCGTGGCTGGCGTGGGGTGCGTGAGCGGAGAGTCGAGGCTGAGTGCTGGCGTTTGGCCTGAGTTACCAGGACTGAGAAGCCCTTGCCGGACAGGGATGCCGGGGGAGATCGGGAGCTCCACGCTGCCAAGACTGAAATGCCTGGGAGCCATCCAGGTGGGGTCCAGTGGGAAGTACCAGGCTGGTGTCACCCCATTTTACAGATGAGTAAACTGAGTCTCGGATAGATTACATGACTTGCACAAGGCAAGTGTGCAGTCAAGAGGGGTCCCGTGCTCCAAGTCCGGACACTATCCTCCTTCCCCTCCCTCACCTCGTCGGGGCGGGAGTCCTGCCCCGAGTGTTTGTCCCCCACTAGACTGGGCCCACGTGTTTCCGTGACAAGCAGGGCTGGCACTATGAGGCCCGCAGGCACTGGTGAGGAATGAGCGTGGGGATGCGACGGGCACATGGCCGGGGATGGGAGGGTGTGCGGGCAGGAGAGCTGGGAGCCGAGCTGTGCACGTCAGCCTCACAGGAACAGTGGCCAGAGAGGCCTTCACAGCTTGGCATGGAGACCTGTCCCCATCACCCACCCTGCACAGAAGGGGAGCCTTATAAAGCCGAAGAGTGACTCAGCAGCAGGGCTGCAGGCCCCCGCACCGCGCTCCTTCCCACACCTGCCCTGGCCAAAACGGGCTCAGAGACACCGGCCCAGCCAGGGGCAGGCTGCCTTTCAGCAAAAGTAAAAGTGCCTCACCTTCTAGATTATGAGATGATTCCGCTTCAGACCAGCCTCTCCTCCCTGCGCCCTCCCACTGGGCACCTACGCCTCCCAGGCCTTTCTCCTTGTGCCTTGAGTCCCTCATGAAGACCCTCGCTGCGTCCTCACTGGAGCCTGGTTTCCCCTCCCAGGGGCCAGGCTGCAGTTAGGCCTGAGCCAGCTGGTCCCCCAGCCTCTGCACTCGGCCCTTCTTGTGTGGCTGGTGCCCTCCTGTGGACCAGTCCCTCGGACTGTGAACCCCGTGTCCTGGGGCAGCTCCTCGCCGTCCCCAGGGGTCAGGACAGGCCCCAGACGGGGCTGTGCCAGTAGGCGGCCTGCAGTGGGGACAGTGACAAGAGGGAGGGCTCCCCGGACCAGATCTTGCGGGGAGGTCAGTGCTGGCAAAGGTTTAATGGCTGTTTGGCTGGGAGGCCTGATCTGTGGTGTCAGTTGATTTCTGTGGTCTAAATCCTCTTGTCATGATTGGTTTTTATTTTTTTCAAGCTACCGTCATGGGTTCACTGAACAGGGAGTTGGGAAGAGATATGCACCATACACCATAGTCCAGGTCGTAGTTCCACAGTCCACACACAGCAGACAATGATAACCTCACGAGCATAGATGATACTCTGGTTTTTTTAAAAAAAAACAATGTTTTTTACATTCAGCCCATCTCTGAGAAGAGCACTCCTGGCCGAGGGGACAGTGGATGTTAAGGGGTGACGATGCGAATGGGGAGTGGCTGTAGGGTATGGGGAGGCTGTGGACTGGACTGGAGATGCGGCTGGTGAGCTTGGCAGGGGCCCTTCCGGGACCCCGGTGCTGAGAAGCTGTGAGCTGAGGGAGAAGGCTGCGGCAGGTCACTCTTATGGTCCCTGTGGCGTGGGGACTAGGAGGGAGGGAAGGCTGGGCGCGGCCAGGCCAGAGATGGTATGCCCCAGGAACCACGGGACAGTCAAGAGACCTTTGGAAGATAGAATCAATATATTTTGGAATGGGTGGTACCTCAATTTCCTCATCTGCAAAATGGGTGTATGACCCACCTCCGGTGACTCAGGTGTGTGGGGGCGGAGGGGGGAGTGAGATGACAGCTGACGGTCACAGCGGCGCCCCCCCCTGCCTTTCCCTGAAAGCATCGGCCTTCCCCTTCAGGTTCAAAGAGCGTGTACTGCAGACCCCCAACGACCTCCTGGCGGCTGGCTTCGAGGAGCACAAGTTCCGAAACTTCTTCAACGCTGTGAGTTAACCCCGGGCATGACGGCTGAAGGGCCTGGCCTTCCTCGCTGGCAGAGCAGACCAAGGACTGAGGGTTGCTTCCTGCTTGTGGGGACATCGAGGGGACAGGGAGCCCAGGGCCCTGTCCTTCCTCTGGGAGGAGGCACCTCCTTTGGAATGGTCGCTGTCAGGCTGGAAACTTCCCCCAGCATACTTCCCACCTCACCCCCCTGACTCCACTAGTGAGGGCGGTGTGGGGATGGAGGACTCTCACTTCTGAATCTGTATGGAAGAATCGCAATCACGGCAGTGAGGAGGGAAACTGGGCCAAGGGACTCACTGCAGAGTGTCTCTAACCCCGTCACTTAGCTTTGGCGGGGTCTCTGATGGGTTGATTCTGGTGCCTCAACTTGAGGATTTCAAGGTGGAAATTTCACGGAGGGAGGCTCGTGGAGGGAGGGGCGGGGCCTGCCTGGCCGCCCGCTGAGGGCCCGGGGGTGCAGTTTTACAGCGTGGTAGAGCTGGTGGAGAAGGACGGCTCCGTGTCCAGCCTGCTGAAGGTGTTCAACGACCAGAGCTTCTCGGACCGAATCGTGCAGTTCCTGCGCCTGCTGACCTCCGCCTTCATCAGGAACCGTGCAGACTTCTTCCGACATTTCATCGACGAGGAGATGGACATCAAAGACTTCTGCACTCATGTAGGTCCTCGGGGCCCTGGCTTGGGATGTGGCCTCCAGCCCTGGGCTCTGCTCTCAGCCCTCTCCCCTTAGGAGACCTGAACACTGACATTCCCTAACCGGTGCTGGGGTCTCATGTCTACATTGCAATTCAGAGCATTAGATTAGGTTAGCCAACTGAACAGATCCTCCTTGAGCTGCCTGAGCTGTGTGGCTTTGGGGAAGTTGCTTTCCCTCTCTGAGCCTCAGAGTGTCTCATCAAAGGGCCTTTGGATTGGACCACTGTTTACAAGATGACAGGGTAGCAACTCCAGAGTCATCTTTGCTCCAGGATATGTTTTACGATGTGTGGTGTTTACCTGAAAGGACTGCCGACATTTAAACGTTGGGCAGTCTTTATATGGATGTCTGGATTGCTCTGGAAAAATCAGAAGATCCAGTTCCCCAGACCTTACTTTGCCTGGCAACCATCAGCAGGAGCTAAGTGGCAGCTGCCTGAGTTACTGGGACTCACTAGCCAGCTTGTCACCCTCTCTGCCTGTCTCCACTGATTGGCTCACTTGCTCACCCAGCCCTCTGTAAGCACCTAAGCTTCAAATCCCATTATGATAAGAGTCCCCTTCTGCTCTGAGGTTCCTTATGCATTAGAAAGCCCAAGCTGAAAAACTCCTGTTCTCCCCTCCAGATTCTTCAAAGTAGTGTGTTCCTCTGACATACAACGAGGAGACCAGAATAAAAAAGATTTAGATTTAAGCCTTTTAATTCTGGCGATTTCTATCTGTTCCTTCCTCACTGAGCCTGCGTTTCCTTCTCTAGAAAATGCGTATGTCGACATCTGCCTCAAGGCGTGTTGTGGAGACCGTTGCCCAGTTGCAGAGGTTTTGAGCTCTGCAACTGGGCAAAAAGCCAGGGTGGGACCTCTCACCCGTCCTCTGCTGGGCCTGCATCCCCAACTGGGTTGTTTTCTCCTTGTGGCTTTTGCAGGAAGTGGAGCCCATGGCCATGGAGTGTGACCACATCCAGATCACGGCCCTGTCCCAGGCCCTGAACATCGCCCTGCAGGTGGAGTACGTGGACGAGATGGACACGGCCCTGAACCACCACGTCTTCCCCGAGGCTGCCACCCCCTCCGTGTACCTGCTCTATAAAACATCCCACTACAACATCCTCTATGCAGCTGATAAACATTGATTAATTTTAGGCCATGCAGTGGAGCCTGTCACCTAACTGGACTGCATTCTGAATGGAACATCATGGCTTTTCAATTTTTTAAGCGATTTAGACTATAGTTAGAGAACGTTGCTGCCTTTGGGGCAGAGGCACTGGGAATAAGGCCTACTCACTATGGACTATTGGTAACTTGGTGATAATATTTTTAATATTTATTTTCGTGGAGGATCCAATGTTTTATAACTCTGGGCAAGGATGCCAGAGCCCCTGGCTCTACCCCCAGTTCTGAGACATTGCATAGGTCACTACCCCTCTCTGGGTCCAATTCTTCATCTGGAGGAGGTTCCTGCCAGTGTTGACATTCCATTGTTGGGTAAAAAAATACCCTTTGGTTTATTTTTACTGGGGGCAGTGCCTCTCTGCAGGGGAGGAAAAGCTCAAGATCTTGCAAGTTATATAAAAAATCAAGTCCAGTCAGCTGCTGGACTGGACTTGGGAAGGTGAACTGAGGCCAACTTGAAGATCTCCAGTGTACTTCCAAACACTCAAGATGGAATGTTTTCTCACCCCAAACTTGAGGAACAAGACTTTAATGCCAAAGTCTAGAAAGGGGCCTGTAGCCGTCAGCATGAAGCCCAGTTGTCGGGCCCCTTACCTCCCTCAGGGCCAGGACTGCCTGCCTTCTGGGGGGCAGTGCTGCAGGGTTCTGCCCGCCTTCTGGGGGGCAGTGCTGCAGGGTTCTGCCCCCAGCCCCAGCCGGACAGACACTGAGAAAGACGAGGGTCCAGGACGACCAAGAAGCTGTCTCGTCATCCCTAACACACCCTGGAAGTAGGATCTAGCGATGCAGCCAGGTGAAGGTACTGACCAGCACGTGCAACCAGACTCCAGCTGAGCAGAGCAGACAAGTGTTTTGAGGCTGTCTTTGGCTTCTTTCTCCCTTCCCTCTTATGGGCTGGCTAGAGGTTAGATGGGAAAGACTGGGTATGAGCAGGTGGTAGTGGGGGAGACCACCACTGTGGAAGCTGCCAGGTAGCCAAGAGCCCTGGCTTCTGTCAGCCTCCTCATTCATCAGTCTGGATGTGGCCCTTAATAACCTGCTCACCATGCTGCCTCAGGATCTCAAGGAGCCCTGGCTGGGCTGCGGCACTGCCAGCAAGCTGTCCTCCCCTCTGGGAAGAAAGGGAGAATGCAGGGATGTGGAATTGCCTTCCTTAATCGAAGGCCTTCAAAGGTTCCAATCTGCAGGGATTTATTCGAATCTACTGGTGCTTCAGTGTCAGACTGCTCCCAGTCCCTTATACAAAGGGCACGCTTGTGTCCATTTTCTGCCTTTGTGAAGACTGATGTTAGGGTGCTTTTAATCCCGGGCAGGGGGCCAGGTTCCCATACTGCCCTGGGCTGGAATGTGGACCCATAGGCTCAAGCTAAGTGACTGTCCCTTCTTCACAGGCATGTAAATCTGACCCTGATCTCTGAATTGGTTCAGCAGTCCCCCCTCCCTGCTCCTCCCACCTTGGCCTGGGGAGGAGCACACTGTGCCAGGTACAGTCAGAGTGGGGTAACGTGTTACATGGTTTGTGAATATCATGATCCCTGTTTCCAAACTTAATCTCGGCTGCTCTGAGCCATTGTGAGAGGCGTCCTGGGCCTCGGGCTGGGCTGGCAGGCACAGTATAATCAGCAGTGGCTGCTCCCTAACTGCATTTGTAGTTTGTGCAGCATTCACAAAAGCAAAGCTTTCTCTTCAGCAGAAGGCTGGAGAAATTCCCTCCGGGGTGTGTCTGTGCTGCCTTTCCAGGCCTAATAGCCCTGCCAGTGCTCATGTCGGGGGAACCCTCTTCCCAGGAGAGATGCTGTCAGTTTAGAATCAGAACACCCAAGAGAGGCAGGCTGTTTTCATGACTTTGCCCTCTGCTCTCCCGTTTTTCACACAACCACTGGCCAAACCCAAAGCACCACTCTCTTCCCTTCACATCCACCCTCAGATCTTGCTTCTGAAGGGAAAGCACTGTGGAGGAAAGGAGTGGCAGAATTCAGAGGAACTCTAAGTAACACAAAGGTAATAAATCCAGTCATCCACAGACATTACCCTGCTCATCTATAGCAGCCAGTCACGTCAGCAATCCCACTTCCTGGGTGATGCACCCACCCCGCGATGCCTTCTCTTTGCAGACCAAAAGCTGGAAGGAAAGTTGCTTTGAGAGTTTGTCTTTACAACTGCGTATGTGCTACTTTCCTTCCGAAGGGAACTTTATAAATCAGTGTGACTATTTAGCAACAGAACTGTCCTCGCTTTTGGTTCCTACTTTAAGCAAAGTGGCTCTGGAGCCAGACTGCCTGGGTTCAAAATCTTGACTTTGTCACTAACTAGTTATATGACCTTAGCCAAGTCACTTCACTCCCCGAGTTCCAGTTCCCACACTAGTGAAATGGAGACAATTACCAACATATCTTCCCCGGTGGCTCAGACGGTAAAGCGTCTGCCTACAATGCAGGAGACCTAGGTTCAATCCCTTGGTTGGGAAGATCTCCTGGAGAAGGAAATGGCAACCCACTCCATTGTTCTAGCCTGGGAAATCCCATGGATGGAGGAGCCTGGTTCTGTGGGAGGTAGGCCAGGCCCTACAGCTTCCTCGGGCAATTGGTTAAAAACATTTTCCTAGTATTAAAATGGTTTCCATAACAACTTCTGGTCCTGGCCTGCACCAAAAATCAACACTGCTGTCCCATGGGGCTTGTCTGTGTGAGTGGATCAGCAGGGGCAGGAGTGTCTTCGTTGAGTCAAAGGTCCAGCCGCTCAGGAAATTCTGCCCTTGGGCTGGGCTGGAGTGCCAAAGGAACCTTTACAGGCCTCGCCAGAGCTTCACCTCATTGGGTCAGAGAGCAGAACTGCCTTGACTGCCTTGGAGGCCGGCCCTATCTTTTAAAACCCAGCTCTTTAACACGTTACCCCCCACAAAAGAATCTGCTGTTAGGGGCAAGGACAGGATGCCGAAGGACACCAGCGGGCGCGTCTGGCTGTGGCGAGGGTGCTCAGGCCGCTCGAGGCTCAGGGCTGCTGAGAGACCTTGAGTCCGCTTGCACGTCCACTACTGTCATCTGGGAAACGGGGGCCCCTGCCGTCCTCGGACAGCTGTCCCCAGAAGCCGACTTCACAGATGAGAGCTGTGCTCTTCGGCACTCTCCTCCACGTCACTGGTGATGCTGGGGAGGCATCCTTTAAAGCGGGATTCCTGGCGGCTCAGTGGTGAAGAATCTGCCTGCAATGCCGGAGACATGGGTCCTATCCCCGGTCCAGGAAAATCAGTGCCCCGTATGCGGCGGGGCACTAAGCCCAGGCCCCACAACCAGCCTGTGCGCTAGGGCGTGGGAACCACAGCTACTAAAGCCCCTCAGCCTAGAGCCCGGGCTCCTCAACAAGAGAACAAGAGAAGAAACCAGGACGAGAAGCCTGTGCACGGCGACTCGAGAGGCGCCCCTGCTCATGCAAACGAGACAAAGCCCGCGCACAGCAGCAAACCCAGCACAGCCAAACACAAACAAAACACTTAAAAAAAAAGCATAAAAAAAAAAATTAACCACCAAAGCAGTTTTCTAAACTTGCCTTTGACCTACAAGGGAATGCCCAGGGTTCTAGTCCTAGCTCTGAGCAAGTCTTAACCACGCAGCATGAGCTTTCTCAACTACAACAAAGGGTGCTAAGACATGTCTCAGGGCCTTGACGGAAACTAAATGATAATTAAAGCAGAGAAAAAGTACTGAAGCAGCACCCAGTGATACCTGAATCTGAGTTCAGGCCAGCACCCTGCTGCAGTTACCTACAGGGGCCGTGGGGATAGAGCTGCCAACCACAAGGCCGAGGGAAGATGCTCCGAAGCCCAGACTTAGCTGTGCAGAAATGCGTGCTTCCCCCGCCTGTGGCTACTCGCCCAGACTGACCGGCGAAAGTTGCGGTGGTGCCGGGAGGCCACGTTCCCTTAGCTCTCATTTGCACCAGGCCCGGATCTAAGCCCAAGGGCTGCAAGGCGTAACAAAGCAGCTTCCGCTCCCAGGGAGCTCAACAAGATACCAGATGCCAGCGCTGTGGGATCCACAGGAGGAAGACCGCAGCTCCAGCGCTGCTCAGGGCTGGGAAAAGGCAGACAGGCCAAGGGAAGCGCTGGGACAAAGGCTAGGGCCAAGGAATGGGGGCGTGGCAGTGTGGGCGGCAACCATTCTGTCATACAGAGGAGGGAAGCCGAGACCAGGCTGGAGAGGATGGCCAGAGCCAGAGCCTGCACGCCTCACTGTCAGACTCCGCATACTGCTCCTGGCTTCCCCACGAGGGGCTCTGTGAGGTTAAGGAAGCTGTGTTCTCTAGGAACAATCTCTTCCCTGCCCACCTACCACGGAGGCTCAGACAAGACAACAGCTGTGAGGCAGAAAGAACGAAGGAGGTGCTAGGATTCTGCTATGGAGAAAAGCGGGAACACACATTGGGGACCCAGGCAGAAATGACTTCATCGTGATTGGCGAAACTCGCCACCTCTGCTCCATCCACACTGTGAGCAGGCTGCAGCCCAAGGACCGGACGGTGGCCCCCCCACCCCGGCAGAAACTCAAGGTGACGCGATGGTTCTAACCATTGTTTTTAATTGAGAAAATCAAGTTACACATACAAGAAGCCTGTAAGCACTGAAATGCAGAAAGATATAAGCTGGCACACAGAATTCTTACTCTGAAACAACACAAACCTGCATGAGGGCTGCCCTGCTGTGAGGGGTGATGTGGAAGAGAGGGAGGTTTCTGGAACCACAGTGGGGTGAGATCCAAGGAAGGAAGGTTTCCATACAACCGGAGAACAGACGCGGCACGGCCACCAGCTGACTCTGACCTGGGGGTGGTCAGTCGGCACTTGTGCTCGGCTGTGGCTGCTCCTGCGGCTGCGGCTGCTCCTTGGGCTGCTGTCTTTTCTTCTTCTTCTTCTGTTTGGAAAGGCAGCTCAGCGCGGACTCGCCCTTTCTTGGGGCAGACATGAG